AAATACTGCTGCTAAGCAACCTTATAATATATAGTTATAACAAGAGCACAGTTTGTCATTGAAACAGCTTAAATTCTATTTGCGTTGAATTACCAGTTAACCATTAAAATTTGATAATTTACCTTTCTTTTACAAGTGGTAGGCATAGGAAGAAGAATTCGTCCACAAAACCGTGAAATAACGCCAATTTAATTTGGTAAACATTCAGCGCGGCTAAGCCCACTCCTAACACCTCACATTCGTCGCGATTTTCTGCATTTTTGCTTGTTTATTTTACTCCAAACGCGTCTAAAATTAAGCAGTACCCTTCTCTATTTGTTTTTTATCAATCTGAAGCCGACCGGTGCAAGAAAACGGGAAAATATAGCCATTTAAGTGTAAAAACCATGTTGCCGTAGTACAATCTTCACTCCTCTTTCCTTACTAACAACATGGCGGCCAAACCGGAAGTCAGATGATTCCGTTGGACACTTTGCACCCCCGAGTGAACTTACTGCTCAGTCCTTATACTGTGCCACTTAGAAAGGAAACACTGTATTTGAACACATTTGGGGACAATAAATGCAAGCGCCAAAACTACGAAATCTACAAATTCAATATCGAGAACCAAAACGGAAGTGAAGAGGTAGAAGTTACAGCAATTAATTTCCCTATAATATGTTCTCCACTGAACTCGAAAGTCAACAAGAATTATGTACATCTGGAAGGGCTGGAACTGCAGACTTTGGCGGCGACGATAATGAAAGTAACAGCATCGATATCCTAATTGGCGCAGACCATTATTGGGACATTGTCACAGGTGATATTCGATTTACAGGAGAACGGTACGAAGTTCGCCTACCTTGGAAAGAGGACAATCCTGAGGTCGCAGTCGACTACGAACTTTGTTACAATCGGTTACGGTCGTTGCATCAGAAATTAACAAGACAACCTGAGCCTCTTCGAGAATATGACAAAGGAATTCAGGAACAATTAATATCGGGAGTAATCGAGCGAGTGCCTTATCAAAGCGACGACAACAAAGAGAACGAAAACAACGTGCATTGTCTTCCACATCACGGTGTAGTAAGGAAAGACAAATCGACTACAAAGTTGCGAGTGGTCTATAATGGATCAGCTACCACTGGACCAAATTTTTATCAAGACTAAAAATATCGTAAATATCCTAAAAAATCCTAAAATATCCCTGTGTTTTTACGTGAGAGAGCCTGGATCTAGTCTTTCAAAATAAACAAGAAACATGGCTGCTCGAAACAGCTCAAATTTGTATTAAAACTTGTCGTTTTTGGATATTAAGATGGCCTAATGGCGACATACAAGAACCGTAAAAGGCGAACTTTTAAACGTTTCGGGAACCAGTTTCCCTGGAAATTACAGCGATTTATTTAGCTAAATTAACAGTTTGGACATCATTAAATTTTTTCGCGAACTCGACACTTTGCATCGCCCGAATGGATGTTGGTCTATTCGTCGGATATTTACCTATTGTGTCACAAATTTACTATAAATTACACTATGAAATTCATCGAATTCCGAGTAAAAATACAACATTCTCCGAAAACAGCTGGACGCGTGCAATACTAGGGATTTTTGTTTAAAAATATTGCTTGTTCGTGTCGCTACTATAATCGAACTCGGCAACCATGAAATATTTAAACAAAGTATATTAAAATTTGACATTTTGATCAACCCCCATATAGTTTATAGTAATATTTGGCCGCCATTTTTGGTCAAAGTGCATTTGTCCGTCGCCATCTTGTCCCATATTTCTGGTAATACTTTACAAGCCTCAGTGCGAGTGGCCGAAGGATCCAGCAGCGAGAGCCCTGGATGACACAGCCTTGAACGAAACCGTTAAGAAACCGCAGACTGTTATTCATTCACTCGTCAGTACGAAAGAAGAAGAATCAGCTGAATTGAATCTGAACGACATCATAAATTGTGACCGTTTCAGCAGCTTCACTAAGCTGTTGCGTGTAACAGCGTACGTGTTAAGGTTTGTCAACTTAAAGTTAAACGAGCTGCGCGCTAGGAACACGGAGAATATGCAAGGAGAATATGTAGTGGGTGAGTTGCGAAGATTGGAACAGATGAAAGAATTTCAAAGGAAGACATAAACATTATCCGTTAATTAATTATTTGAGAAACCAATTATGCGAACAGTTAGACAGACAGTAGTTCGTGAAACTTTCATATTTCTAGTTTACGATTATTCTGGGGAGTATTGTTGAGCACTGTATACGGCTCAACCCTGGGGAGTGTTATGAACAGAGTAATTATTAACATTTTAATATATCGTTTACATTAGCAGACAGAGACATTATGCTATAATTAGCTATAAATAGGTTGTAGTAACTGTCAATCATGTACGTAATTGCTTTGTTATTGTGATTTTGTATTGTTTCGAGTAAAATATATATGTTTTCATTCTTGTTGTTTAAGGAGTTCATAGCGAATTACGAGCGATTTATAAGCGATTTACGAGCGGATTACGAGCGATTTATAAGCGATTTACGATATTTATTAAATATCGAGAGCTAAGTAAGATCGCCACCCTATACCCAGGATCCAAGAGACACTTGACAGTCTTGGGGGAAATTCGTGGTTCTTGGTATTGGACCAAGGAAAAGCATGTCATCAGGGCTTTATGAGTGAGGAGAGGCAAGCCCTAACTGCCTTTATAAACCCTTGGGTAATGGCGGCGCCAGGAAGGGGATCAAGGGGGGCAAATGCCCCCCAAATTATTTTTTGCCTCCCCCCAATTTTGCCCCCCCCCCCTCAAAAAAATTTATTAGTCACTGAGAGCGACAAAAAGCTGCACAAGCGTTTTGTCGTTATCGGAAAATGTATGGCTTATATAAGTGGTCATTACTCATTAGTGAATGCAAGTATACATGAAACTGTCTTTTATAGTTTCAATATTTATTTAGTTTGTAAATCTCTGAATGGTAAAACTTGCCAATACTCCTATACGTTTCAAAAAAGACAAAAAAGCTTTAGTTTTGCAAAGTTAAATTCTCAAACGTGTAAAGGACCACACAGACCGGACGCGATTCGGCAACGCGACGCAAATTTTCAGTTTTCAAAAACAAATAAAACCGTTAACAGATAAAAATTTTACAAGGTATGCAGACCAAATAGCTAAAATTGCTAAGTTGTCCCGAATATTTGAAAAACAATGAAAAATATTAAAGTTAAAGGTGATCTACAGTCCGATCTGCGCATGTGCACAAATGAGCCCACTTTTTATGATACAAACAGTTTAACTATGTTTTGAGTTCTTGAAAAGCCTGATTGTTGTTTCTTGATAATTTATTATACTCTAGAAGCTTGAAAATATAAATAGTTGTCGAATAAAGCTCAATATTTTGGACACAAAAATGTAAACAAAGGCTTTGTCTACATACGGACTGTAGATCACCTTTAAATGTCATTGAAAACTGAAAATTCGCGTAATAAAATAAGCGTCCGGTCTGTATGGGCCTTAATCAAGGCACTAATAGGATGAAAGTATCACAAAATTATTTGAATAAACCACATCGCATATATGGGAGGCGAATATCCTAAAGGGGGAGGGGCGATATTCCTGGGGCATTTTCCTAAGATATTCGTCCCCCGGGGGCGGTATTCATAGGAATATCGCCCCCTTTTGAGAGGGAGGCGAATCTCTTGGGGAGGGGGCAAAATTCCTGTGACAACGGCATGGGCAAATAGCAGTACCTTTTTAAAAATTCTATCTTGCCCCTCAAAATATGAATTTGCTCCTCAAATGCCTCCCCCAAATTCTGAGGTCTGGCGCCGCCACTGCCCTTGGGTGGTGAATGGGTTAGAAGGATTCAAAGATTCATGGAAAACTGTTTAGGTGACTTGCGCGACACAATATGTATCCAGTATCATGATGACGTTATCGTATTACCGAAATCAGTAGAGTGTCTTTTCCGGAAGTTGAAAAGACAGTCGAAAGCCAGTAGAAACGTTCATGTTTTATGACGTCACGGTGAAGGAATGCAGCGTGGAACTTGTAAGTTATTTTACTTATTAGTAAACTTTATTAAGTGCCTTCCCACGAATAAAGATTCTCCCTAGTGTGAGGCGGTTTCTACAAAAACCCGAAAACCGACCAAAAAACCCCGAAAAAACCGAGTGAACCGGGGTATTTTTTAAAAATATGTTCGAAAATCGAAACTACGGTTTAAAAAAGACACAACACGCTATATGAATATCTTAAACCTGTCTTCGCAGACGTCCGCCTTTATTACCAGCGAATCAAAATTCACCATCGTTTGATCCGCTTATCAACCTCGTACCCAGGGCTTCTGCGCTTATTGCTCTCAGAAGCCCTGGGATAATCCAAACCGGAACACCATAGAACAGTGGTGCCCCCGGAAGCGGAAGTAAACAATAGCTCCAGCTAAAAACGCTGACTGGGCATATTTTTACGCAAGGAGTGAGAATGGATTATTTGTTGCAATTTATGATATATTTGGACTTGTAAAGACGTCTTAAACTGCTTCTCGCGTGGCTTTTGGAATTTCAAGTCAGGAATGATCAATTTAGAGATACAATTATGCGTAAAATTAGCCCTTTGGCGAGCAAAAGAACATCTTATATCGCGACAACAGCATACCTTGTCAGCGATATACAGGGGCTATTCAATAATTAAAGTATAAATATTTATGTTCGAGTACAACCTTGGTTATTTCAAAATTAACAGACTAGAAATCTTACTGGTAACATGGCTGGCTGCCGATTATCTTGGATTTGAGGGTTTTGAACAAGATATTGCACGATTTAATTATAAATGCACAAGATATACTCTACTGTAAACATGCATCTACTTGAAGAATGTAAAATGAACAGTGATGAGTGATGTAATATAATTCTGCACTTTAATATTTGGAAAACCTTTTTGGCAAATCTTGAGAATAATGGCTTTGGGAATCAATGTTGAAAATTAAAAACTGTCAGATAGCCGCATGGACAGCATGGTTAGAAGCATACATGTCATCAGATGAAACTCCAACTTTTGTTAATTGCTGATGTTCTAGTATTGGAATGAACAGTGTTATAAGAACCAATGGTGCTGAACTATTTTGGGTTTATTATAAAATATTGTTTATCATTTAGTTCTGGCCATTAACCTTACCTATTAAGTTACACATTGTGTCTTACTTTTTATTTTACTCTGGTGTGCACCCCCCCCCCCCAGGCTCTGGTCAACAGGGGTGCATGTGGGGGGGGGTGCAAAAATGATGTTTATCCCAATTCTAACCAACTTATGTTAAGGAATTCAGTTGGGTATCACTAGTTGACAATAGTGGAATAGCCAATATTAAATATTCTGAATTTTTTAAATGTTTTGAGAATCTAAAAATTTTCCAAAATGTTTTCTCAGAATGCTGGAAATGCCATTTTAGAGACCCAAATTTTAAAAATTTTCTGTGGTAGTATGCCCGGCCCGGACCACCCTAGAAATCTTGCGCCTTCGGCGCTCGTTTCGCCATTGGTTAGCACCCCCCAAAAAAACTTTGCTGGATCCACCACTGCACCAGATGATTTTATATGTTGGGATAGATCATTGGTGTTCAATGGATTATCTCATAATACACACTAGTTTGTTAATTAACCTACTCTGTCTAATCATGCTAACACCATCATTGGCAATGGAATTGAGCAGTGATGTAGCCAGAATTTCTAATTAAGGCCTTCAAGGGGGACTGAAATCCCCAGGAGGGGCCTGCACTAGTTTGAATAAAGTTTGTTAGTATGTAAAATATATTTGGAC